TCTCCTGTAGTGGTTCATTGAACCACAATACTGACAAGTGATTAATAAAAGTCAAAAGACCAAAGAGGTCACCTTAACACCAAAAAAAAAAAAAAAAGAAATTAATTTTTTAAAAAAATGATTTTTAAAAAAGATCATATTTTTGAATGATATCTAAAATTTTATTGTAAATATAATTTTATAAAGAGGTATTGAGAATATGTAAAATATAAAACAAGAAAATTATATAAATATAATTATACTGACCTAATACAACAAGTTTCTAAAGCTCTTGTTAGTATTCTTGTATCAAAAATTCAAAAATTTACACATAAATCCTGAAGATATATGAATGCTTATAATATAAATTTAGAAAAATAAAATGCAAAACGGACTGTTAATAAGTATAAACTCATTATCATCTTTCTAAAAATGTTGAAATTTTGAATAAAGTAATTTATTAAGATAATACTTTAAACTCTTGAAATTATACTTTTTTTATCCATTTCATTTTATTTTTTATTTTTTGTAAGTTGATCCAAGAAACAGTATAAATAGTCAAAAAACAAATCTATTGCTATCACTATAAAAATGTTAAAAAAGAGTGCCGTTATACATTCATTGAACTATCCAGCAATTTTATAATGCGATTTTATTGGTAAATCACGATCACGAGAAAATTGAAACATTTCACGTGATTGGCTATTATAGATTGCCGGAACCATACATAAAATAATTTATGTAATACATCCCTAGTCATGACTTCATTAGTAAAACTTTTACGTTTAGTAATCTTGACAAAATTAGTTAATTCCGTCCCCGCCGATCATGTATCCGACCGGAAGTTTGGTAACCTCATTGGCTAATAAATTCAATTTAATTTATATTATTTTACAGTTTAGAGTATTTTTTAATGGAATAAAAAAAGTTGTATAAAAGGTTCCATTAGAGTTTTAGGACTCCATCGTCTGTTTAAAAAGTTAGTATAATAATAACTTCTCAAAACCCGATAGAATCAACTTATTACTAAGCTAATTTTTTTAAACGGACAGAAATTAGATACTATCTTTGACTATGAAGTCCTACAGCTCTGATGAAACCTTCTATATGTTTTTTTTAACTTTATTATGGTTGATTTTTGTTTTTTTAAAAAAAAAAAAGTACTCAAGACTTTATTAAATTGGATTTATTAGCCAATCAGACGAACTATTATAAATGCATCAAAATCGTAATTTCGGTTATCAAAACGCATAGAAATGAGAAAATTAAAATTAGTATACGTAGTCGGAATAGGCACGAAGCTAGGCCGGCCAACTATAATTATCATCTGGGTAGCTTAGTGCGTGGACCATTTTATTAATAAAATTTTTATCATTACCGGCCTATTCCTACCCCGGATTTTAGTCGAATATTGGTTGCTCCACTTGTTCAGAATAATAATTAGGAATTTTAAATAAAATTTTATTAAGTCGCACTTAGCATTTTGATCAAAAAACTACGTACGTACAGATTTTTTATGTATTTAAAATTTAGGCATAAGTTTAATGGCAAAATGACATTGTTCTCTAATCTACGAATAACAAATTGAAAAATCATGCATAACAAGTACAATTTACAAAGGTTAATAATAATAATATCCTGGTTTATTGGAGATAGTATTAGTATTATTTGTCATTTATTTGTTATTTTAATGTCATTTATAAAAATATTTTTTATGACTTGTCATTTTGCCATGATTTAATGACATTTCAATTTAAAATGACATCAGTTTATGCTCATTTTCATAAAAAGTTTTATGAATTCGTCATCTGCCATCACTGGATAATTTTAGGAGGAAGCTTCTGGCTTTTTCTCTAAAGCTTTCTGTTATTTTTCAAGACAATGAAAATATCACTTTCAATAAGCAAGTTTACTATGAAGGAAATCTTTGAAGTAAAGATTACTTACTTGCTGTTTTTGTCTCATGATTTCAGCGTCACTATTGGAAAAGACCAATTAATTCAATCACCATAGACAAATTAAAAAGAAAATTTAATGTCAATATATGACTTCAATATCAAAATCGATATAATTATAGATGTATTTCTTAACATACGAAAGCTTTTCTCTTATTGTCTCGGTAAACGTTCATTTTCCATTAAAAATTAATATCTGAGCTTTTTATTTTATGTCTCTAACTTATGTTATTTCTTATCCTTTTTTTGCTTTCGTGGAATGAAGGTTCAAAAATTGCAAATGAACGAATCGAGCCATAAATCGCGGCCCATATACGTCCATAAGCAAACCTTCTAATTGTAGACAAAGAGTATAAAAGTGAAGAGTAATTAGTAACTTCGTACACACCTTTCTGCACGTTTCTTGAAAGTGACTCCGTCCTCTTTTTTCTTGGGAACTTTTTGTTGTTTTTTTTGATTTTTTTCACGAGCCTTTTCTCTTTGATTTCCACCTGAAAATGTTGGTTGGATTATTACATCTGTATTAAATATAACCTAGACTAAGAATCAAGATATTCGTCTTTACTTACGGGCCATTTGAAAAAGAAAAATAGGATAAACAAGCTTGGGAATAGCGATAGAAATGTGAGAATTTGAACGGAGTTTGGAGCAAAAATCCACAGTTTTTTATAATTGGCTAATGTTGAAAACGTTTCACTGATACATAGTCACATGATTTGTTACACATATCGGCTAATTTTTTTGAATGAAATATAAATTATGTACGTATTTATCGTTATGTATTTATTTGGCCATTTGGCAGAAATGGCCAAATATTTATACGTATACGTAGAAAAGCTACGTAGTAATATTATTGGTTAATATTATATAAGTTAGAAACTTTTGGGCTAAGTTTGATTATTGGCCATTGGCTCAAAAAATTGTCAACACTGGATATATATGTTGTACGTTGAAATGGGATTATTGAAGGTTTAGAATCCAAATGTAGCCCAAGTTTGATACGAAATTTAGATTGATGCTAAATTTGATACTGTAATAATGAATAAATTTAATAAAAATTTGTGATTTTAAATTTGAAACTGCAATAAATGTAATCGATTAACGATACTATAACGATAATTAAATAAATTAAATCATATCATCATGATAATGTTGTCAAGATTTAATATAAATATTTTACTCATATTTCACTTTATCCGATGGTCGAATATCAAGATTATTCATTTTTGCCTCATAATGCATTTGAAGAATTTCGTTCTAAATATCTTAGCAACAAATCGGCCAACAGTCGACTTAAAATCTTGAAGACCTTAATTTTTGTGTTAAGGTTTTACACAATCCAGTAAATACATCGAAAGACACTCTCCTGCAAAATCCTCGAAGTTTTGAAGAATTAAATATATAAACTTGGATACAAATCTGGTATTATTAGAATTAGTATAATTCTAATTAATTTTTAAAGAACTCAAAGATTTGAAATTTTACAATTGGTTAAAAAAACATAGTAATTTTCTATAACGGACTTTTTTTTTCTTCCAGAATCTTAAGTTCGTTTTTGAAAGAGCTGACTGTAGCGTTCGAGACGTGTTTATTATGCAATCCTATTCACAAGTAGATAATATTAAATGCAAATGCAAAAACGCGTGTGGCAAAAATCATTGTAATGTACCCTGCAGAAGTTTTAAATAAGGTTTATTCATTTTTTATATTTAACCGACTTAAATTCCAAAACAAAAATACTTGATAAAATACACTTAATTTTATTATAAGTGGAATTCTTTAACAACTTCGAATCCATCGGATTTAGGCCGGCATTTAACAATAAAAGTCAACTATTTCTGGGCCAAAATTATCAGTTAGGCAGCTTTACTTAATGAGTGGGTCATGACTTCATTAGTAAAACTTTTAGCGATCTTGGGCAAAATTAGTTAATTCGATCGTGATTCCCTGTATGAGTTCTAAATCTACAATAATTCCATTCCAACCTACGACATATATATTAACAAGGGTTTTACTGCTAAAGAGCCGGGAGTTTAAATCGAACACAGTAGGGGAAATTTTGGACAAAAATATAAATTAATAATTTTATTAAGATAATCTATATACTTTTCTAAGTAAAAAATGTTCAAACCTAAAAAATATATAATCATATGTTTTTTAGACAATTTTATTAATTATTGGACATTGGACGTGGTCAAAAAAGCCTTGAACAGTGAAAAATGTACAATACTGAGCTTAGGTATAGCATCGTACTTTTCACAGTATGGTGTTTAATCGTTACATATTAAAATCTATGCAAATAGTATTGATGATTTTGTAATCCTAATAATATTACAATTAAGCGCTATGCAGTGCAAGTAATAATAATCACTGTAATTAGGATACGTAGTAAATGCTACGTATACAGAATTGAAATTGGTAGATGTTAAAAGTCTAGACTTAATTTAATATAATTTTTTAAGTCATTTACTTTCGGAAAGCATCGGAATCCTGATTGGCTGGGCCGGAATGGCTCAATTTGCCAAATAAAATCATAGCCGTTCATTAAGTAAAAAATGCCCAGCTGGTAATTTGGCTGTTAAACATTATTGCTAAATTCTGGCCTGGCTCCGATGCCATTCGGTCCGTAATTTTGGTATAAGATTATCGCCACCAAAAATTACGTGTACTAAATGCATAACTAAAAAGATGATCGAGAAAGTTTAGTGTAATTCTTTGTCTTAAAGAAAGTTCATGTAGACTGTTTGATTTATTATGTTAATAATAACACCCTTAACACTTATTAATTTTATTGGCAGTTAGGTAAAAGCATAGTTTGAGTCAAAGTAATGTAAATAAATAATTGCCACATAGGAAGACTTTCATTATTAGCGAAGCTTTCCTTACTTTTGGTTTATCATATATTTTAAACAGTTTTAGGGACGACACATTGCATTTATACAATGTTACTCGTGATATTGGGGTAGCTTATTGACCTGATCTAAAATGGGATTTTTCATCAGATATAAAAAATACATCTCACCTTTTATTGAACAGCGCCCCAAATCATCATGTTAAATATTTTAAAACATATATAAACGTTATTTTTCTTATGCCATATATATACAGAATTTAGAACTTTATACCAATTTTATGACCCTTTAGTAACGAATATCTTGAATTTAAAGTATTGTAGTTATTCTAGTCGATCCTGAGGACAATTTAATAGAAAAGGTTATAGACACATAAAATAGATCACAATCAAAATAAAAAAACCTTCTGTTATAAATACTTGTATGTAAAATTCTATTCAATCAAAAATATTACTGTACATTCTTTCCTATATTTCTAAATTATCATTATAGAGTATATTCCATCAATGATTTGTACATTTTCATGTGCTTCAAAAAACAAAATATTACAAAATGTAGCATAAAAAAAAAAAAGATTACTAGTTATGCTCTAGACAAATGATTGGGTGCATTATGAAATAAACTTTTCAAGATATAGGCTTCAGACAATAAAAGTTCAATATCTTCATAGCCCCAATTAGAAGTTGGTAATGATTGTAGGAACATCATGATTCCCTATATAAAATTAGCCAAATTAATACATTTATGGTTTCGATGACATTTCTGAATGAAATATATAAATGAAAATATATACTTGAAAGTCCATTGATCTTATTTTCTCCGACCATTTAACCAAAAACGCTGCACATACGTATAGGTGAAATTCCGAGAAACCATCAGAATCTTCGGCCTTCATGAATTGTATTAATATTATTTATGTAATTAGCAAATTTGAAATTACATTTATATTAATGCACATATATACATATATTTGTGACAATAACCATACCAAATAAGTATCCCACATTCGAATGGTATTCTTGAGAGACATCTCTCGCATTAGCAAACAATTCATCCACCGGAAGGCAAACTGAATAAACTCTAAGCCTTCCTCCCGGAGATGTGTTGCTAATGGCTCTGTAGGTATTTCATGAATATAGCAAATACAAGTCATGCATCTATATTATGTAATTAACACGTGTGTCATTATCATTAAATAGTTTATAAATACCGTCTATTCGATTTATCAAATCTTTTAATGTACTTATTTGTCTTTGTATTCCTGGTTGGGCAAACGTATAATTGTCCTAAATAATATGATGTATACAAAACTATATAATTTAGAATGAATTTTTATTCAGATCGCGGTATCAAAGCTACGGATATTATTCAATAATATTTTTGTCCTCGTGTACAAGCGAGAACTTTACTTTTGCTAATATCCAATGCCTCAATATATTATATGCCCAGTGTTGTTACTTGAACTATGTCTATATATTTAAATATAGTTTAAGTAATATGTCCAATTGAAATTGTCAAGTCCATATTTTATACTCGATTAGTCCAAATTACAACACTGTTATCTATTATTATCACTAAGCATTAATAAGCATAATATATACCTGAATGCCATCTAGTAATTTAGATAAACACCAAAAGCTATCTGCTTCAATAACATTTAACACTTCTTTTGGAAGTGAACCTGGATCGTATGTTTCTGGGTCGCAGTCTATAATAAGAACGAAGCAGAGTTCATTCAGTAAAATCATAAAGAATAACTCTTCTCGCAATCAAAAATAAAAGTTGCACAACCTATGTAAGCAGACAGGAATACTGTAAAAAATGGAGTGACAATGTCATTGATTCCCTGAACATATCCACTAGCGGGATGTCTAATCGCCCAAACATAAAGAATGCGTTCCAGAGACTAGGATATTAAATTTCATTAGTTTGCAAAAGATCATTTCGAGAATTTTTATCATTATTAACTAACCTGTTGCGTCGTCTCATATTGGTAAAGCGCAATACCAGGATTTGTTCGAGGAACATCAATATGAATCTATGCATTAGAAAACAAAAAAAAAAAGACGTATAGTTAAAAAAAAAAATCGAATGCACATATTATACATAGATCTCATTCGATTTCTAACCTGATGCCATATGGTTTGATCCAATCCAGCGACTCCCCTTGCATACGCTTGGGAGACGCTATCTTCATACTCTTTGCGCTTACGTGCTAATGTTGCTACACGACGATCAGAATTACATGGAAGATATCCCTATGGAGGAAGGACCATGTCATAAATTATTTAATAATTAAAATATTTCGATAATAAAAAATATTTATTAATCAACTTACGAGAAGTAATTGCCATGCCATTGGTCTCAATTCATCTGGTATACCTTTCCAACTAAGTTGTCTGAGTACAGCTAAGTCAATTAAATTACTGTAATTAGAATTGTTGTTACAAGAAAATTTGTAATATCAGGGAATAATATAAATGCATCATACTCAAATCAACATTAGGACTTTGTAAAACATCTTTAAATTTATTAATACGTGGATTGTGATTAGCGTCAGAGACGGGCAATTTCAACGAGTTTATCGAATTCATAGGATCTACGAGATAATCATTGAGAATATTAAGCATGTAGATCAATTAATATATATTTTTCATATATTTTTTTATATATAGTTACCTTGTACCAGTCCAGCAATTTCAGCTTTTATGCCAATACTTTTCTCAATTGAAACCGACTGAGTGCTAATTTGTTCTGGCATCTTTTCTTTTTCTTTTTTTTTCTGTTGAGAATTCTTTGGTTGGTTCTGAATTTTCAATTTATCAATCGGTAAATCTTCATTATCCGATTTATCGTTCCATACATCATTTGTATCCGACATAAAATTTGAGAAATTGACAGTCGGATTTAAAGAAGGATCTTTATGATGCAAATCACGAGTTGCTTGATTGGAAGAATGTGTTTGCGTATTTCTTTGTAAATTAATTTCAATAAAATGATCACTAGGATGATAAATAAATTGTATAATAATATCTTTTCCTTTTTCTTTTTGCTTACCCTGTGACTTCAACGGCATTCGCAGCTGACATTTCTCCATAAGAGTATTGAGCTCCAATCACTAGTCTCGTTGCCCCTGTTTTCGACTCTACAGGCTTGACACTGAAAGTGTATAATATTTATTAGTAAATACTAAGTAAAAAAAAAAAATTAATAATTAATGTATTTGCCCACCCTCCAGGCAAAGTGGACGTATGTCGTCGCCAAAAACCTCTAAATTTATAATATGAAATTAATTTTAAATTTAAATAGATCTAAAAATCAATGACGATAAACCTTGAGAATACTACTTTTTGGAAGGATCGGTAAGAGCGAAGTTGACATCGGCCATTGTTCAATGATTCTTTATTCAGTAGTAAACTCCAAGTAAAATAGAGAAACTACCAAAAAGTATGTGAGAAGATATTAAAAGTCTTCACTGCGTCACGAATGTCAATTCGTTCTTTAAAAAATGGTTTCTTTGATACAGAGTATAAAAATTTTTAGCCAGCCGCAGAACTTGCATATTTATTATACCATGTGCTGGTACTTTATTCGGAGAAAATCCCGGAAATTATAACGATAAAATTAAAATCTAGATAGCGATTGAGGGTTTGTTTGTTTATCTTCAGATCATACCTAAAGAATATTATGACGTTATAATACCAAATTCGAGAAATGTGACTGGATTTAAAAGGTTTGTTATTAAATTCGAAAAAGCGGAAATAGTTTGTTGGTTTTAAAGTTTTTAATCTGTTAATTAATCATTAATAAACTATTTATTTCCGGATCTTGAAACAAGAACCAAAAGTTCTGACTAAAAGAGAATTCAAAAAAAAATTTATTGAACATAAATCATAAAGTTGAGAACCGCCTTCTAACCCTTAGGTTTGAGTTATACTATCAAGTTTGAATACCTAATGTCAAGATAACATTATCGTACAGCGCTGCATACAGTACCCCCTGAAAAGTATCCCCTTTATGGGCTTAAAAGACTATATTGAAATGCCGGCCATTCAAAAATATCATAGTATAATTGGCTGGTAAGAAAACCACATTTTTTTGAGTCGACATGTATCACTCCTTTTTTTCAAAGCGCAAAAAATCGACATCGATATCTACCGACTTTTTTTTGTGGAATTTGTACATCATAGGCACATCAAACTGAAATAATAAACCATATTATATAAAAAATGAAATCCTAAAAATACGGATGTCATTAAAATCTATCAGACATTCAGGATAAACAACCTTCATTTCAGCAAGGACTTCACATTCGACATTCCATTCTTGGGCTTTTCTAAGGATGTACTAAATGCGCACCGAGAAAAGAAAGACAACCTCAATTTTAATTTTATTTGAACGAAAGCAAAATATTAAATAAACTACCTCTCGTGTAGAACTTTTGTGTAAAGAATATACCGAAGTCGTAGCAACCTAAAATTTACCTATTAGATATTATTTAATAAATGCCGAAATCACACGCTCCATTAATGTTAAACCTCAAGAGCCTTTTTTAGAAATATCATGTCTATGCCTTTGTTGTTTTTCGTTCCAAACGGAGGATTCATCACAACTGTGTCTACATTATTTTTCCACCGACATAATGGGTCTAACGTGAGATCGGTAAGGATAAAATCCACATTAACCTTATAATTTGAACAATTATTCTGCGCGATACAAAGAGCTGATGAATCTATATCTAGTGCTAAATTGTAACTGGACCGAAAAAAATTAATTAGAGATGAGGTTTATTAATGCAAAATGCAAAAATTCCTTACCCGGATTCAAGAAAACTGGACGCGATGCTATACTTTTTTTATGGTAAGGTAATGCTTATCAAGGTTCAATTTTTTTTTTTTGTACATAGAAATAAAAGCGAGCTTGCGTTCGTTTAAGTTCTTACCTCAAAATACCACACCCACAGCCAAAATCTGCAACAGTCTTGCCTTCAATGTCGTCGTAATTGGAATGTGCAGTGAAAAGCATACGTGCAGCAAGGTGTGGTGTTGTACAGTACTGTTCCAATTTGAGTTTTGGACTATCTGCACTTATCAAAAAACGGAACAAGCACTATAAGCTTTATTACAAAGTGTGTCTAATCTAGATATGCTTACCAAATACAGCAACATCTTGAAGTGAACTTTCCAACTCTTTGAGACGCATCACGACAAGAAAGCCAAAATTCCAATATTTCTTAATTTTGAATCTAGGGATTGGAACCGTTTAACCGTTTAAAAATTGCTCCATAGTTCCGGGCAGAATTATGTTGGTCGTGGGCTGGAATTA